CTTGTATGTGTGCTTTTGCCCGCCTTTGGTATGTATATTACCTTGACTTTTCTCCATAGCGAAGGAATATAGTTTAATTGCAGCGCCCTTTTGGAAATGGTTACTAGCCAACCTTTTATGTAATTCTGTGACTGCTGTAATTGAGCCGGGAATTAGCCGTCTGGTCTCGGTGACTTGAACTTCTTGAAGATTTTTATCGCCCAACGTACATTGCTTTCTGACACTATATCTATAGGGGTAGAATCTATCTCTGCTCCACTATCTTATGTATACTTCACTGTATGGCTTTCAGAGCTACCGGGGAAGTGAGTAACCATTAGTAGGCCGTCCAGCTGCGGTCTGGCTTCTGAAGATACCCAATACTATGCACCGATTGTGCCATTAATTTTCTAAGTCGAGAGATTGATAGAAAGAAATTTTATAATTCTTTTAAATTGTGAATATTAATCAACTTGACAAACTGAGTCAACGCACCGAAATTTTAATTCTAATAAACGTATTTTTTTTTAATTTCTTAATGTTCTCTTTACGATTTCTGTCTAAACCTTAAGCTTTGCTGCCAAATACTTTCCAAATGCTTGCCAAAAATGTAAATTCAAGGTTGTTATCGGCGTTTTCAAGTAGACTGGTTTCTGTGGCCTTCTGCAAATAACAATTCTTTTTCAGTATTCAACCTAATTATAACGAAAACCTGTCTTTCAAAATAAGTATGTAAATATTCAATTAAGGTTTAAATTTTTAAATTAGGATAATAAAAACACAATTTTAAGTTATAAAATGGGTAGATATAGGGCAATTTTTTAAATGTTATGGTATGTAATTTTATTCAGTCATGTTCACAATTTCATCACAGAGATATACGCAAGAACAACGTTTACAAATTATTCAATTTTATTATAAAAAATAATCCAATTGCAACTTTTCGTGCGCTCACTGAGGCTGTCTTTCATCTGAGTGGTGCGGTAAATAAACAAAACTGTCGATTCTGGTGCGAAGAAAACCTATAAATAATTCATGAACAACCATTACATTTACCTCAATTGGCAGTTTGATGGGGTTTTTTTTGTCTGGTGGAATAAGCGTTCTGTAGTTCTTTCGAAATGAAGCTGGTGACACAGTTACTGTCAATAGAGAGCGGTATAGATCGATAATAACAAACTTTTCATGGACGCAATGAGAATAAGTTGATCTTGACAAAATCTGGCTCCAACAAGGCCAGACAAATCTGGCCACACAGCACATGCAACAAACGAATTATTGCGAGACAAGTTTGGGGATTCGAAAATTTCAAGAAATTGTGACATTGAATGGCCTCAAAGAAGTTGTGATTTAACACCATAAGACTACTTAATGTGGGGTTACTTGAAGTAATTAGTTCTTAGCAATGAACTAGGCTCTCTTCAAGCTTTAGAAGTCAATATTGAAAGTGCTCTTCATGACACTTGACTTGGTGCAAAAAGTACTCGAAAATTTGGTACTCGAAAATTGGGTTCATGGTATTCGTTCCTGCAAAAGAAGCCGTGGAGTAACGGAGTTTTGCTATTTTGATTAGCCACAATTATTACAATTATATAAGTTTAATCATATTAATAAGCAAATAGACATTGTTTTCAAAAAATATTAGCAACAAAAAAGGATATAAATATTGTTTTGTGGCGATCAAGGCTTGGTATGCAGTATTAACTATTGTACTATACTTGCAATTTTTTATATACACAATAGAGAGCTGAAATTTTATATTATTTGTATATTTTTATACTCTCGCAACTTGTAGCTACCGAGTATAATAGTTTTGTTCACCTAACGGTTGTTTGTATCACCTAAAACTAATCGAGTTAGATATAGGGTTATATATATATAAATGATCAGGATGAAGAGACGAGTTGAAATCCGGGTGAAAATTGAGATATCTTTACTAAAGTTGGTACACATGTTTCTTGGTACCGTAAGACGGTTGGTATTGCATTATCGAACGACTGCCACGCATGGTATTTATAATATTTCTGTGAAATAACATGACAACTTTAATTCCTCTAAAGGTACAATTTATGCTCCATTCTTCAATGATGTTTCAGAAGAAAAAATTATCGATATATTATATTAATAAATCAGGGAGTTACTTCCGTCTATAAATTCACTTAAAGTCTGGAAGGCAAACAAAAACCTAGCGGAGTAATTCTCCTTTCATTTGACTTCTACAAACTTCCTGAAAAAATCGAAGTCTCATGGCGGACAATACGGATTAGAGCCTATTTCCCAAACCCCATGAGGTGGAAAAGTTGCCAACTTCTAGGCCACACAACTAAACGCTTCAAACCAACACGCGACACATGCAAATCGTAAAATATTTTAAAAATAAAAACAGAAAAAAAATATTCAGTGCGAGAAACACTAAGATTATACAAAGAACAATTACCACCCACAAGCACAAACAATATATTAACAAACGTGATTCCCCGCCGCCATCTCCCTCTCGACCATTCTCCACAGACCAATCTCCGACAACTGATCTTGTTCCACAACAAAAGAAAACTTCAAAAGAGATAACTGTTATGCAATTATTACCCACCACAATTCATCAATTGAAACTACAAAAGAAACAACAAACAGCAATCCTAACTTAACTTTTCCCCAAACAAAAACAAACTCAACCAAAAAACCAAAGTTTCTCTCTCTCTTCAGACAAACTCGATCTCTCCACCTTCTTACTCGTACAATATCTCTCCTCACGTATATATCACATCAGAACGAAGATCAATAATTCTCAAAATTTCTCTTTTCTCATATCGCTAAGAAATGTTCAAATTTCTGCAATGGAATATGAATGGTTTCTACAACAATTACACGGTCCTAGAATTACTCATAAAAGAACAATCCCCAAGTGTTATATCATTGCAAGAGACACATCTTTCATTTAACACCACAACTGCGGTACCTAAACAATACTCTGCCTATTTCTCTAACCTAACACAAAACCATAGAGTTGGATTTAAATTAACCATCCTAACAGTTTGTATCCCACCACATCAAAACTTCAATATTAAAGAACTCCGCGATATAATCAGACCGATTCAAACACCCGTAATTATACTTGGCGATTTCAACGCCTGGAGTCCTCTTTGTGGCTCCGAATGTACTAACCAAAGAGGTAAAATCCTAAAAGACCTAATATTAGCGGAGAACTTACTATTTTAAACGACGGCTCTCCCACAAATTTTTCTACACACAATTCGTTCACGAATAAAGACCTGGTCCTTTGTTCTTCTGCTCCCAAACTAAACATCCAGATTTTAACTGAACTATATAACAGTGATCATTTTCCTATTATAACTCATCTATCAACACCCTAATCCAAAAAAGCACCGAAGCAGTTCGGTTCGAATTAAAAACTACCTTCTTAGCCCAAACCATGTGGCATTTAAGGTAGGGCGAGGCACTATAGATGCTTTACTTTATTTCGAAGACTTCGATATCATTTTTATTACAATATTTAAGATCTTTATAATTAAAGCTGCGAGCTGAACCTCTGAAGCTAGTGCTATTTTTACTTTGTATAATAATAATTGTATTATTATTTTTCATATAATAAGTACATAATAAAAGTAAAGAATTAGGTACATCACAGAAATAAGCGTTTGAAGCTTAACTATGCGGTGAAGGATTTTTAGCTGTAGTTCCAAGATATTAAATAATGTTTTTCTCACTTGGAATTGAGAATATGTAATGTTGATAATATAACAATTTTTAACTAAATCATATCTTTAAATTAAAGATGTTTGCAAAATATGAACAAATTAAAAGTAGGTTTTTACTAAATTAACTATTTTAAGGTTAATCGTATGACTATGAAGAAGGAGTAAGAACTATGTGCGATAATTTGAGAAGTTTTCTATATTAAATCACTCTCATAAACATTTTCCAAAATGAAGTATTATTAAAATCTATTATACTTGTATGATGTTATTTTGATTGCGATTTCCTTGATTCTTTGCCACTTGGTGGCTTTTGTAAGCTACATCTCATTGGGGTGAATATAAGATTATATATGTACATATATCAAAATGATCAAAAATATAAACCAATTGATTTGTCTATCTGTTCATCCGTCTACGTGTTTATCTATACACGCTCCGAATTTGCATTAAATTTTTGTATTACTGTTACAAAATGGGCAATTGAGATCATACAATAATATTACATTCAAGAAATCGAATTAACATCTAACGCAAATAGAGACAATTTTTGTCTAAATATAACCGAAATCAATCCATACCGTTTTTAGCCCCTGTACATCCAATTTTTGATTTCCATGCCTACCGCCAAGTTCATACTGAAAGTACCTTTAATTTTATGAGATAAATTCTAAAGAATTTAAGTAAACATGTTTGCTAACCGCAATGTAGTTTTATACCATAAATGGTAAAATCAAACCAGACCTTATTCTAGACCCCATTTGCATAATATAAAACAAAAATCCAATAAAATGTGATCTCACAAAGAACGCATGGTTTCCGACATTTATTTTGCGGAATTCTTAATGGTAACTGGCTTTTCATCAAGAAGCAAAGGAGAAGAGTTTCTGATCACATTATCCATGACTGTGACAGTAACAACGGAATCTGCTGTAGTACACAAATCCACGTTAAGCATTTTAAGAAACGAAATTTCAATTCAATTTACTCATTCAAATAATATGAACCGCTTTTGTTCGACTGAATATAATTTACATTTAAATAGTATTGGGAGATGTTATCGTATTTCTAGTATACGAAGATAGCCTGATAAGTACATAGCGTACAAAAGGAAAACAAAAGTTTTGAACAAAATTGTGTTTTATTTCTCAACATACGTATCATTTCGGTAATCTGGGGAAACATAGAAATCTGTTTTTTCTTTTACTTTTATTCCCGTTAAAGGACATCTATTATTTTAACTAATTTACATTTATATGAAAATATAAAATATTATATTAAATACGCCATTGATTTTTCCATTTACAGTGTTACGTTGTATGCAGAATTTCTTCCCTCAAAACATAAAGGAAAATGCGTAATTTTAATGGATGTAAGTAACTAAAATTCCGAAAGTAAAACTTTCTGTAAATTTATTTCTCCGCGAAAGACGTAAAGAAGACTGCATAAAGGTCGATGAATGCACTTTCGACTTTAATCATTTTATAGGATAGTTCATCACTTCGCAGAACGCTCTCGAAGAAGTCCTTTGACGTTGCTAATCGCAAACTTATTCAGAGCATGTCCCACTTGATGCAGAGTCTAATCGTCGCATGTACGGTCAATATCTTACTATTGTCCTTAAATTTTGAACAATTTGTGCATACATCGGCTTGACTTTATAGTAGATACAGTGGAACCTCTGTAAGTCGAACCTCGATAAGTCGAGAAGCTCTCCAACTCGAAGAAATATTTCATCCCCTTCCCTACAAGCCGTAAAACCTCCGTTACTCGAAATTTTAACCCTCTATTACTCGAAATACTNAGTGAGTCCCTAGAAGCTATTTCTGTATATTTTTACACTCCATAACTCGAATACCTACACTCAGACCTCTCTATCTCGAATATTGAATTAATTTTGACTATAGCTTGACTTGCAAGCTGGTGGAGGGAGAGAGCAGACTATCGATTTTTCACTCCCCCTACTAGCTTGCAAAGCTGATGATTTGATTGGCGCGCAGCTACTTGCGACTTTTCCAAGAAGCTGAGCATGCAAAGCTCAAATTTTCAATTCCTCTTTCGCTGCAACTACGACCACTACCTACAATCTTCCGTAAAACAGTTTTATAACGAATTGATAAGCAATGAGTGTGAAACGTAAACTTAAAACTCTGAGTCTTGCTGAAAAACTGCAAGTACTCGAAGCAGTAAAAATTTGCCAAAAAAAGACGGATGTTGCAAAACAGTTTGATATACCTTTAAGTATACTTTCAACAATAATAAAAAATGAAAAAGATATATTGAAAAAAGTTGAGAGCGGCCAAAGTTTATCATGCAAAAGACAGCGTATATCTGAGTTTCCTGGTTTAGAAGAATGTTTGTTAAAATGGTTTAAACAGTGTCGTGATGAAAATATAAGTATCAGTGGACCATTGCTACAAAAAAAGGCAGAAATTTATTCAAAGTCTTTAGGATTTTCTGATTTTAAAGCAAGCAATGGATGGCTGGAAAAGTTTAAGCGTAGGCATGAAAGTTTGCTAGGAAAGTGCGAGTGTAAATATTGAAACTTGTCATTCATGGATAAATGAAAGATTAAAAGGTTTGTTAAGCGTTTACGAGCCTGAAAATGTCTTCAATGCCGATGAAACAGCTCTATTTTATAAATGTCTTCCCGACAAAACTCTAGCATTTAGAGATAAAAATGCCATGGAGGAAAACAAAGCAAAGAGCGTTTAACCATATTACTTGCTGCGAATATGTCAGGCACAGAAAAACTCTCACCTTTTGTTATTGATAAATCAAAAAAACCTCGCTGTTTTTCAAAATGTTCATCACTGCCGTTAAGATATGAAGCGAATACTACGATGACTTCTGCAATCTTCAGACACCGGCTCATGGACATCGATAAGAAAATGACAAGAGAAAAACGAAAAATCCTGTTGTTTATAGATAATTGCACAGCACACAACGATATCCCACAGATGAAATCTGTAAGAATAGAGTTTTTACCTCCAAACACTACATCAAAATTACAACCTATGGATCAAGGTATTATAAAAAATTTCAAATCATTATATCGCAAAGAAGTAGTCAGAAGAATGGCGCGAGATTTAGATGAAGGAAAAAAAACTTCCATAGATGTATTGCAAGCCATGCGGATGACTGATAAAGCTTGGCGTAAAGTGACTGCTGCCACTATAAAAAACTGTTTTGGTCATTGTGGTTTTTTTTCGTCAACAACCGAAGAAGTTGAAGATGATTCTCTACGATCTCCTGAGGAATGGAATACAATAGCACCTGGAATATGTTTTGACGATTTTATAACATGTGAGGATGGAGTAATGACTGCGGGAAAATTATCTGACGAAGAGATACTTGATTCACTATCTCCGAGCAACGAAAACGAAGAAGATGATACAGAAGATCCAATCGATATACCATGCACTCCATTAGTTTCAATCAAAGAGGCTAGAATAGCATTAAATACATTACGTGATTTTATTGAACAATCAAGCAAATCAGAAGAAAAAGAATTTTCCGCTCTTTGTATCCTAGATAATGCTATAGATAATAAACAACCTACTTTAAAGCAAAAACAAATTACTGATTTCTTCAAATAAGTTTGTGAATAAATATGTTGATGAGCAGTTATGTAACGTGAATTTGCATGTATATTTATTTGACTTTCTCCTTTCTGTTCGTCCCCTCCCTAACTCGAAACCTATTACCGCCTAACTCGAAATCCTCTGTAACTCGAAAACTCTATAACTCGAATTATTTTTCCACTCCCTTCGAGTTCGAGTTATAGAGGTTCCACTGTATTTCCAATAGTAAGAAAAAAGGTATGCGAGTTGCCTATTAACATATTATATATAGGTATGTCTATTTAACAAAAAATGAAAGGAATCCGTTAACAATTTCCCATAATATAGTAAAGAAAGGGCTGAATCTTTACCTTGCTTTTCCAAAAATAAATTAAGTTTTAAAAATATTGGTCAATACCTCTTGAAAACCGTAATATTTAATTAGCATTTCTTCAGAAACATCCACATTAAGCTCCTGATAGTTATCTACTTGTATGTATATGTATTTCTCCGCTTAATGAAACAATTGTTGTGTTAACCGCTACCGTTTATATTTATTGAAAAAAAAAGTTACGTTTAATATCCTCCGGTTATTTGCACAAAAACCTTTCGTTAAAAAAATAATTTGGCACTGCCGTACATATATACATATTTCGCAGCATTTGTGATAAACGGCATTTGGCATCAGCAATCAAAATCATATGTTTATTGGTGAAGATATTATATTTTGGATGGTGCTGATGTTGTCTAAAGCCTCCGTTTGTTTTCGAAGTTTGAAAATACATAATGAACTTTAAATATATTTTTATTCTGAAAACTAGTTTTTGAGTGAATTAGGGAATATGGAATCGCAAGTTTTACGTAGATTGAACATTATACAAAAGATAAAAAAATATTACAGAAATTCTCAGTTAACATTTTAAAAATGAAAGCAACGATCTCTAAATATGTGAATGCAAGTGCTGCATATACTTATATAATAATATGAATTGCTTTTGTTCCTTAAGTGTATTTTTGTTTTACAACATACATCTTTAAATACATACTAAGGCTTTGTATTGTTTTTGTTCCTTTTTTTTTTCGTTTAAAATGAAAAATTTTAAAAATATCATTATTAAGAACTAAATAAATATTTAAAGAGCACATTTAATTGGTTAGGTTATCCAATTAACCGAAATTCCTGTAATTTAACGAAATAAACGAGTATCGGTTAATTGAAGCAAAAATCGTCCAATTTTTGAAGTGCAATGATCTGGGGGATACTGTAGTGACAAAGTATCAAATTTGTAAGTTGGTTTAAATGAGGCATTCATGGCCTTATTCCTATAGGACAGTTGGTTTTTTACCTTGCTAAGGTCATTACTAAATATTAAAAAATAAGCACACAATGCAATCTCATAATGGAGTGTACTTACGCCTTCCATTTTAAAGAAAAAAAGGGCGCTCTGAATCAATAACTGAACTGCGGTTGAGAACAGGCTTTTTCGGTAATGCAGTAAATACTGGCAATACTGCGCAGTTTGCATTGCTGATGCCCTTGCATGAAATTGTAAAACACGGCGCATTTGAGAATTTGGGTTTTAAAACATAAAAATGTGCGAAATATTTCTTATTAATCTGAGGAGTTGATAGCAAAAATAATCGATTTCTATTAGAAAGGTACAAAAAGAGAATGAATCGTGTAAAAGAAAAGAAATATATTGATTGCGAATAGCTTCAAAGTCCAAAGAATACTTCCAGAAGTGATAGCATTAGTGCACTTGACGCAATAAAATCCTATAAAATTTAAAAATTCACATATATAATAAAACAATAATATTAATATTATATCTATTGTAATATAAATCACTTACAATGACATTTTAGATAGCACAGTTGGTTTTGGTGTAGGTTTTTGTGCAACTGCTTTTCAAATGTTGCAAGTTTTGCGCATTTTTGCACAGAAGCTGGTTTGCTTTTTCGAACCGGTTGCATCATGCATACTGTGCAGCTTGCATTACCGAAAACGCTCACAGGCTCGAATATTTGTAACATTTAACAAGTAAGGAAGGGCTAAGTTCGGATGTAACCGAACATTTTATACTCTCGCAAAGTTAAATGGTATACTCGTTTGAGATTTCTTTGTGGATTGACTGATATTTTCGGTAGAAGGTCAACTATAGGCACTGGGGTCCACATATTTAGTACTTAGGGGCTTGAACAGTTTTAGTTAGATTTAGATTTTTGGTCACAAGGTGGCATACTTTAGACGTATTATTCACGCAAAGTTCTACCCCGATATAATCATTGTTGCTTGATATGCATAGTGGAAGTGAAAGAATCAGATGGAATTGAAAATGGTGTTATATGGGAAATAAGCGTGGTTGTATTCCGATTTCGCCCATTTTCGCACTATAATATAGAAATATAAAAATAACGTTATGTACCGAATTTGGTTGAAATCGGTTAAGCAGATCCCAAGATATGGGTTTTCACCTAAAAGTGGGCGATGCCACGCCCACTGACTAATTTTGAACGCAGTTCCTATACAGTCATCTCATACTATCCCAGGGATAAAATTTAATGTCTCTGGCGTGTTTAGTGCTTGATTTATCGCGCTTTTAGTATTTTTTAACAGTACCGTTATATGGGAAGTGGGCGGAGTTGCCACCCGATTTCACCCATTTTCACACTGTAGGTAAAGGTTCTTAAAACATTTGCTTCCAGTGAATTTTGTTATTATAGCGTTAGCGGTTTAGGAGATATGCACATTAAACATATTAGGGGCGGGACCACGCCCACTTTAAAAAACAAAATTCAACTGCAGATG